AATAAGGAAGACCGTAGAAGAATTGATGCTTTTGAGTTATGGTGTTGGAGGAGAATATTGAAAGTGCCATGGGCTGCCAAAAGAACCAACAGGTCCATCAAATATGATGATAAAATTAGGACATTTCCAAAGAAACAGAAATTAAAAGAATGTGCAAACCGTAGGCCACCCTTACAAAAAGTACTAAAGGGAGTTCTCTGGACAGAGAAACAACAATAGTTGACAAAACCAGAGACTAATATTCATGACTGTGTCAGCCAGAAATCAACCAAGATATGTTGTTAAGTACCGTGGAGTCAGTTCCAACTTATATAGGACTCCTGGAGTGACACCGCTCTGGGCTATGAGTCACAAGGTCGGCAGTTCAAGCCCACCAGTAGCTCTTTGGAAACCCTATACAGGGTTGCTAAAAGTTGGATCCAACTTGACAGTATGTAAAAACAACATTGGATTTCTGAGGAGTGACTGGTGGGTTTGAACCACTGATGTTGCCATTAGTGGTCTAGTGCTTATCCTACAGTCCCACGCTATGATGCCATTAGCCCAGATATAAAAGTATTCAAAGTAAAAGAAACCTACAACACTGAAAATAGGGAGCCAGAGATATCAGTTAGCAAGAACAACAGCAAAAAACAACCAAAGAGAATAATGCAGTTACAATGCTTCCATATGAAGAGAAAATCAAGTGGACTTCAAGAAAAAAAATAATCCCAGTTGTAACTCTTACTCCTGGCCCTATCACAACCCCTCCCCCACCACTAACCCTTGTTCTAACCATAACACTAACACTAAATGAAGTCCTAGACCTAGTCATCCTCCTAATCCTAATTCCTTGTTCCTTTGTTATTAAATTCTTTTGAGTCAGTTTCGACTCCAAGCAAACCCTGCATGGGGTTTCCAAGAAGCCTTGCGGTTAGCAGTCCAGTGCTTACCAGTGCCACACCAGGACTCCCTTATTCCTACCTTGCCTCCTACCCCAACAATGAGTCGTCAAGGACTACGGCTTTGGGCTCTCAATCTTCCCAGACTCTCAAGATAAAATAGCCTCTTGAATCTGAGCCCCATTCCTTTGCATTGTACCTCTTTGAATTTTATTGAAGAATGTGTTTTGTTCTTGCAATTCAGTTTATCTTTCTGAAAAAATAAATGCAATTGGACTCCTTCGAAGACTTCTGCAAGCACTTTGGTACTTTAATGTGTCCGTTCTCATCTAGTCGGCATGACTCACTAAAGAGAGTCTGGATAAATGAGTGACCATTATGTGGTTCTGAATTACTTTTCCTTTGCAGTAAATTAGAAAATAAAGGCTACTGGATTTAACAGCAATAAAGACTTACATGGCATAATGAATGTAAAAGTACTTTGTAAATTATAAAATTATATATAAATAATTATTATGCATCTTTGCTGAGAAGGAATAATATAAAACTATCATGACTGTATTCACGTATTAATTCAAAATACACTTACTTACTGGGCTACTATTTTGTTCAAAAGAGTAGGCTAGATGCTACAAGATACACAAAGTCATAAACTTATAGTAAAATTACAATTAACGCCATCTTACAAGTTTTGTAAGTTTTGTAAAAAAAAAAGCCTGAGTCCTTTTTTGTGTTTTTTTTTTTCCAACCAGATCATCAGTTTTACATTCAACAAATCATATTCTTTGCTTCATTACATAGTTGTAACCCATGTACCAATGGTCAACAGTATTTACTACCTCTATTCACCACTCGTCTGTCTGTCGTGCTGTGGTGGTTTGAGTTGCTGTGATTCTGAGGGCTATGCCACCGGTGTTTTAAATAACCAGCAGGGTCACCCATG